GAGATACCAGAGAACCAGGAACGAGTATGTTAGTGTGAGAAGAGCAGCTGAGAAAAGATATGAAAATGATATAGCTAATAAAGCCAAGACCGAACCAAAGCTACTACACAGTCACATCAGGAGGAAGACAACAGTGAAGGAACAGGTGATGAAACTTAGGGTGGGCGAGGACAGGTACACAGAGAATGACAAAGAGGTGTGTGAAGAACTCATCAAAAGGTTCCAGGAGGTCTTTACAATAGAACAGGGAGAAGTCACGGCGCTAGGAGAGGTGGCAGCAAACCAGGTGACCTTGGAAAGGTTCGAAATTACAAGAGATGAGATCAAAAAGCACCTATTGGAGCTGGATGTGAGAAAAGCTGTTGGGCCGGATGGAATCTCACCATGGGTATTGAAAGAGTGTGCAGGAGCACTTTGCTTGCCACTCTCCATAGTGTATAGTAGGTCACTGGAAACGGGAGACCTACCAGAAATATGGAAGACTGCTAATGTAGTACCAATATACAAAAAGGGTGACAGACAAGAGGCACTGAACTACAGGCCAGTGTCCTTAACTTGTATACCATGCAAGGTGATGGAGAAGATTGTGAGAAAAAACCTAGTAACACATCTAGAGAGAAGAGACTTCGTGACAACCCATCAACATGGGTTCAGGGAGGGTAAATCTTGCCTTACAGGCTTGATAGAATTATATGATCAGGTGACAAAGATTAAGCAAGAAAGAGAAGGATGGGCGGACTGCATTTTTTTGGACTGTCGGAAAGCCTTTGACACAGTACCCCATAAAAGGTTGATGCATAAGCTGGAGAAACAGGTAGGAATAACTGGTAGGGCGCTCCAGTGGATAAGGGAGTACCTAAGCAATAGGAAGCAGAGAGTTATAGTGAGGGTTGAGACCTCAGAATGGCGTGAAGTCACCAGTGGAGTCCCACAGGGCTCTGTGCTTGGATCTATCCTGTTTCTGATATACGTAAATGATCTCCCAGAGGGTATAGACTCATTCCTCTCAATGTTTGCTGACGACGCCAAAATTATGAGAAGGATTAAGACAGAGGAGGACAGCTTGAGGCTTCACGAAGACCTGGACAAGCTGCAGGAATGGTCGAACAAATGGATGTTAGAGTTTAACCCAAGCAAATGTAATGTAATGAAGATAGGGGTAGGAAGCAGGAGACAAGATACAAGGTATCACTTGGGAGATGAAATACTTCAAGAGTCAGAGAGAGAGAAAGACCTGGGGGTTGATATCACGCCAGACCTGTCCCCTGAAGCTCATATCAAGAGGATAACATCAGCAGCATATGCCAGGTTGGCTAACATAAGAACAGCCTTTAGAAACTTGTGTAAGGAATCTTTCAGAACATTATATACCACATATGTCAGCGTCTTCTGTTGTAGCGTCTTCTGTTGTACCGTCTCCTGTTGTAGCATCTTCTGTTGTAGTGTCTTCTGTTGTAGCGTCTCCTGTTGTAGCGTCTCCTGTTGTACCGTCTCCTGTTGTAGTATCTCCTGTTGTAGTGTCTTCTGTTGTAGCGGCTCCTGTTATAGAGTCTTCTGTTGTAGCGTCTCCTGTTGTAGCGTCTTCTGTTGTAGCGTCTCCTGTTGTAGCGTCTCCTGTTGTAGTGTCTCCTGTTGTAGCGTCTCTTGTTATAGAGTCTTCTGTTGTAGCGTCTCCTGTTGTAGTGTCTCCTGTTGTAGCATCTCCTGTTATAGTCTTCTGTTGCAGCGTCTCCTGTTGTAGCGTCTTCTGTTGTAGCGTCTCCTGTTGTAGCGTCTCCTGTTGTAGCATCTCCTGTTGTAGCGTCTCCTGTTGTAGCGTCTCCTGTTATAGAGTCTTCTGTTGTAGCGTCTCCTGTTGTAGCGTCTCCTGTTGTAGCGTCTCCTGTTGTAGCGTCTTCTGTTGTAGCGTCTCCTGTTGTAGCGTCTCCTGTTATAGTCTTCTGTTGTAGCGTCTCCTGTTGTAGCGTCTCCTGTTGTAGCGTCTCCTGTTATAGAGTCTTCTGTTGTAGCGTCTCCTGTTGTAGTGTCTCCTGTTGTAGCGTCTCCTGTTATAGTCTTCTGTTGTAGCGTCTCCTGTTGTAGCGTCTCCTGTTGTAGCGTCTCCTGTTACAGTCTTCTGTTGTAGCGTCTCCTGTTGTAGTGTCTCCTGTTGTAGCGTCTCCTGTTGTAGCGTCTCCTGTTGTAGTGTCTCCTGTTGTAGTGTCTCCTCTTGTAGTGTCTCCTGTTGTTGCATCTCCTGTTATAGAGTCTTCTGTTGTAGTGTCTCCTGTTGTAGCGTCTCCTGTTGTAGCGTCTCCTGTTGTAGCGTCTCCTGTTGTAGAATCTCCTGTTGTAGCGTCTTCTGTAGTTGCGTCTCCTGTTGTAGCGTCTCCTGTTGTAGCGTCTTCTGTTGTTGCGTCTCCTGTTGTAGCGTCTCCTGTTGTTGCGTCTCCTGTTGTAGCGTCTCCTGTTGTAGCGTCTCCTGTTGTAGCGTCTTCTGTAGTTGCGTCTTCTGTTGTAGCGTCTCCTGTTGTAGTGTCTCCTGTTGTAGCGTCTCCTGTTGTAGCGTCTCCTGTTGTAGCGTCTCCTGTTGTAGCGTCTCCTGTTGTAGCGTCTCCTGTTATAGTCTTCTGTTGTAGCGTCTCCTGTTGTAGTGTCTCCTGTTGTAGCGTCTCCTGTTGTAGCGTCTCCTGTTGTAGTGTCTCCTGTTGTAGTGTCTCCTCTTGTAGTGTCTCCTGTTGTTGCATCTCCTGTTATAGAGTCTTCTGTTGTAGTGTCTCCTGTTGTAGCGTCTCCTGTTGTAGCGTCTCCTGTTGTAGCGTCTCCTGTTGTAGAATCTCCTGTTGTAGCGTCTTCTGTAGTTGCGTCTCCTGTTGTAGCGTCTCCTGTTGTAGCGTCTTCTGTTGTTGCGTCTCCTGTTGTAGCGTCTCCTGTTGTTGCGTCTCCTGTTGTAGCGTCTCCTGTTGTAGCGTCTCCTGTTGTAGCGTCTTCTGTAGTTGCGTCTCCTGTTGTAGCATCTCCTGTTGCAGCATCTTCTGTTGTAGCGTCTCCTGTTGTAGCATCTTCTGTTGTAGCGTCTCCTGTTGTAGCGTCTCCTGTTGTAGCGTCTCCTGTTGCAGCATCTTCTGTTGTAGCGTCTCCTGTTGTAGCATCTTCTGTTGTAGCATCTTCTGTTGTAGCATCTTCTGTTGTAGCGTCTCCTGTTGTAGCATCTTCTGTTGTAGTGTCTCCTGTTGTAGCGTCTCCTGTTGTAGCATCTCCTGTTGTAGCGTCTCCTGTTGTAGCGTCTCCTGTTGTAGCGTCATCTGTTGTAGAATCTTCTGTTGTAGTGTCTCCTGTTGAAGCGTCTCCTGTTGAAGTGTCTCCTGTTGTAGCATCTTCTGTTGTAATGTCTCCTGTTGAAGTGTCTCCTGTTGAAGCGTCTCCTGTTGTAGCGTCTCCTGTTGTAGCGTCTCCTGTTATAGCGTCTCCTGTTGAAGCGTCTCCTGTTGAAGCGTCTCCTGTTGAAGCGTCTCCTGTTGTAGCGTCTCCTGTTGTAGCATCTCCTGTTGTAGCGTTTCCTGTTGTAGCATCTCCTGTTGTAGCGTCTCCTGTTGAAGCGTCTCCTGTTGAAGCGTCTCCTTTTGCAGCATCTTCTGTTGTAGCATCTCCTGTTGTAGCGTTTCCTGTTGTAGCATCTCCTGTTGTAGCATCTCCTGTTGCAGCATCTTCTGTTGTAGCATCTCCTGTTGTAGCGTTTCCTGTTGTAGCATCTCCTGTTGTAGCATCTCCTGTTGCAGCATCTTCTGTTGTAGTGTCTCCTGTTGTAGCATCTCCTGTTGTAGCATCTTCTGTTGTAGTGTCTCCTGTTGTAGCATCTTCTGTTGTAGCATCTCCTGTTGTAGCATCTCCTGTTGTAGCATCTTCTGTTGTAGCGTCTCCTGTTGTAGCGTCTCCTGTTGTAGCGTCTCCTGTTTTAACATTTCCTGTTGTAGCATCTTCTGTTGTAGCGTCTCCTGTTGTAGCGTTTCCTGTTGTAGAATCTTCTGTTGTAGTGTCTCCTGTTGAAGCGTCTCCTGTTGAAGTGTCTCCTGTTGTAGCGTCTTCTGTTGTAGTGTCTCCTGTTGAAGTGTCTCCTGTTGAAGCGTCTCCTGTTGTAGCGTCTCCTGTTGTAGCGTCTCCTGTTGTAGCGTCTCCTGTTGTAGCGTCTCCTGTTATAGAATCTTCTGTTGTAGTGTCTCCTGTTGAAGCGTCTCCTGTTGAAGTGTCTCCTGTTGAAGCTTCTCCTATTGTAGCGTCTTCTGTTGTAGTGTCTCCTGTTGAAGCGTCTCCTGTTGAAGCTTCTCCTATTGTAGCGTCTCCTGTTGTAGCATCTCCTGTTGTAGCGTCTCCTGTTGTAGCATCTCCTGTTGTAGCGTCTCCTGTTGTAGCATCTCCTGTTGTAGCGTCTCCTGTTGTAGCATCTCCTGTTGTAGCGTCTCCTGTTGAAGTGTCTCCTGTTGTAGCGTCTCCTGTTGTAGCGTCCCCTGTTGTAGCATCTCCTGTTGTAGCGTCTCCTGTTGTAGCATCTTCTGTTGTAGTGTCTCCTGTTGTAGCATCTCCTGTTGTAGCGTCTCCTGTTGTAGTGTCTCCTGTTGTAGCGTCTTCTGTTGTAGCGTCTCCTGTTGTAGCATCTCCTGTTGTAGCGTCTCCTGTTGTAGTGTCTCCTGTTGTAGCGTCTTCTGTTGTAGCGTCTCCTGTTGTAGCATCTCCTGTTGTAGCGTCTCCTGTTGACTGGAGACATGACATGACTACCACTGACATGACTACCACTGACATGACTACCACTGACATGACTACCACCGACATGACTACCACTGACATGACTACCACTGACATGACTACCACTGACATGACTCCCACTGACATGACTACCACTGACTTGACTACCACTGACATGACTACCACTGACATGACTACCACTGACATAACTACCACTGACATGACTACCACTGACATGACTACCACTGACATGACTACCACTGACATGACTACCCACTGACATGACTACCACCGACATGACTACCACTGACATAACTACCACTGACATAACTACCACTGACATGACTACCACTGACATGACTACCACTGACATGACTACCACTGACATAACTACCACTGACATGACTACCACTGACATAACTACCACTGACATAACTACCACTGACATGACTACCACTGACATGACTACCACTGACATGACTACCACTGACATAACTACCACTGACATGACTACCACTGACATGACTACCACTGACATGACTACCACCGACATAACTACCACTGACATAACTACCACTGACATGACTACCACTGACATGACTACCACCGACATGACTACCACCGACATGACTACCACCGACATGACTACCACTGACATGACTACCACTGACATGACTACCACTGACATGACTACCACCGACATAACTACCACTGACATAACTACCACTGACATGACTACCACTGACATGACTACCACTGACATGACTACCACTGACATAACTACCACTGACATAACTACCACCGACATGACTACCACCGACATGACTACCACTGACATGACTACCACTGACATGACTACCACTGACATGACTACCACCGACATAACTACCACTGACATGACTACCACCGACATGACTACCACTGACATGACTACCACCGACATGACTACCACTGACATGACTACCACTGACATGACTACCACTGACATGACTACCACTGACATGACTACCACTGACATGACTACCACTGACATGACTACCACTGACATGACTACCACCGACATGACTACCACCGACATGACTACCACCGACATGACTACCACTGACATGACTACCACTGACATGACTTCCACTGACATGACTACCACTGACATGACTACCACTGACATGACTACCACTGACATGACTACCACTGACATGACTACCACCGACATGACTACCACTGACATGACTACCACTGACATGACTACCACTGACATGACTACCACTGACATGACTACCACTGACATGACTACCACTGACATGACTACCACCGACATGACTACCACCGACATGACTACCACTGACATGACTACCACTGACATGACTACCACTGACATGACAACAGAGGTCGGCAACATTGTGGCCCCAGGAGCCAATCCCGGGAGCTCCAGTGCCAACACTTTAACTGGCCTGCCCTCCAGGCACTGTTTACTGAGTGCCTCCCCCCCCCCCCCACCTGTACACACCTCACCCACTGAGTAAACTCAGTGTGAGTTTACTCAGCGGTGTGAGTCTCGTTGATCGCCAGTGATGCCGAGCTGAGATTAACAGTTATGTTCCAGGAGAGTGCCAACAGGGCGGCACTCCCACTACCCTCAGCTCCAGGGTATAAACACTGTTAACGTCGTGGCTGAGTGCCAAGTTCACATCTTACACCGTCACTCTTGCTCGTGGAGTGCCAGGGACACCTGTGTGTGTCGTGGGGTGCCAGGGACACCTGTGTGTGTCGTGGAGTGCCAGGAACACCTGTGTGTGTCGTGGAGTGCCAGGAACACCTGTGTGTGTCATGGAGTGCCAGGTGTCGGAAAATCCGACACCATTTAATATATCATACAGATAATAGCTGTATTACCAACAAGTTACCCATAGAAAACGTAACTTGTAGTGGAATTACCGTCTATAGAAAACGGGATATCATCACCACATACTATTATAATTCACCAGCTATTCTGCTGGGAATTATTCTTAAATACATAAGTCTTTGGACTTTACCATCATAAAAACATCTTATATAAATTAACTTAATTATCAATATTAAAGTAGAGTAAATGTGACCCTTCTATCACGTTCTGAAATCTGGACAATGTAAGCCAGGCGTCAGAGTGGAGGAAGGAGGGCAGCCATTGTTTATACTAGACCAGAGGCTCACACGGGAGCAAATTCGGCTCCTGTTAAATTTACTTGGACGTAGTGTTATGGAAACTAAAAGTGTACCATTATCAACACGCTGTCTACAAATTCAAGTTAAGTGTCTATCCGAAACCCATTATCTATCATTAGTGGCCATTAATGTCATTGGGTAGGGTTATCCGGTTAGATCACATGGAAGCCTCAAACTAAAGGTAATTAAGCCAGGTCCTCATGTTCCATGTACTGTTTTCTCTGATATACTTGTCATATATAGGATTCTGGCTTCACAGCTAGCGCACTTTTGACAGGTCAAGACGAGGAAGAGTTTGTGCACCAGTTACCTGGGTGATATGGAAGCTACCTCAAAGAGGATAATTTGGTGTCTACACCCTAGTTATACCTGGTGGACTAGCCTGCTGTACTATAAGATAAGGAACCTCATCAATGTATGTAGCTATTACTGTAATTTGATTGGCTGCATATATATAAACTAATAAACCCCCCTAATGTGTAGAGGATCGATTTGTGAGATTAAGAGATTATTGCAGAAATACAGTCCACTTAACATTATACAAATTGCTATCGAAGTATATAAATTAACGTAAATATAAATCTCACAGGTCGGTTCCCACATTATTTGGTCATCTTCGAACCGGATGACGGATTATTTGATCCTTTGAACCCACATTTGGTCATCTTAGTACCGGATGAACCAGTTAACCAGTGGATTCATTAAATACTAGTGCAGTGTTATTTAAACAAAAGCCAGCAGTCAAGACGGCAGCGTAGCCTCGAGGGAGCTCAGGAGCCTCCCTCAGCCCAGTTCAGCTTCGTCAGCGGTTTCACGCACACCCACAGATTTGGTGGAGTGTTATTCTGTGAAATGACAGCGCTAATATAGAATCCAGCCAAATTAGTGACTGTGTCTTCGCGAGATTGTTCACGGATTTCGTGGTGTTACATTTCGCGAGAGATTATCTACGAATTTTGTGGACTTTATTTCGCGAGGTCACTAATAATATTTAATACTTCTAGATAATATTAGAAGTTTCATAGAGGCTAATTAAGAGGCTATTATCAATAATTGTGTATATTATTTCTCCAAAATAGAGAATTATTTAATATAGCACTAGTGATCACAGTGTATTTACTAATTGCCAACCCACAACAGGGTAGGATATGACTAGTTGAACTATTATTGCTCATCCTAGTCCCATTATTACCATAGTCAGTTGTACTATATTGATCAACCTAACACCATTAATGAATGGTCCAGACCCTATTTTGGGTGTAATTTTTATCAACTCGAATTGAGTTGTAATATATAATAATTTACTTATGATCATTACACCTTTGAGTGATTAATTAGTGTCTCTTCCATCCTAGGGTGATATAGAAGAGCTAACCTAAAGGTACTTCCAGTGACACTGGTTTATCACTCAAATCATTAGTGTGTATGATTGTATATATATAATGTGTATTAATTTTAAGTGCTAACCTCTAGTAGAGGTAGGATTATTGCCTGGTGAGTTCAGAATTTACCCTAGGCTACCATTAGAGCTTGTTCAGTATTATGAGCAGCCCAAGTACAAGTCCCACAAGGCTTCACCAACTAGCCAGTATGGATAATGCAGGGAGAATGAAAAGAACCCTTGCAGGTCTTAAAGGCCACTTAACAAGACAGATCAAGAAATGTGAAGATTTGTCACAACAATCAACAGTTGATTATGCTGACCTGGAAAGCTATTATCAAGCAGCTGCAGGTAAATTTGAGCAAATCAAATGTCAAATAGCAACATATGTGGCTGAACTTGCCAACACTAATTTATCAGAAACAGAAATAGACGACATTATGGTTGATCTTGCGAATTATGAAGATCACACTCAGGCCACGTTACAGCCTTATGTCAAATTAATTGCCCAGAACAAGGCAACAGCAACAACAACAACAGTTGCATCTAATACGAGTCAAGCAGAAGCTCGACTCCCTCCAATTAATTTACCCACTTTCTCAGGAAAAGATGAGGAAGATTGGGACGAATTTTGGAACAAATTCGTTGACCTTGTAGACTCAAAACAATCTTTACCAAAGAGTAGTAAATTCTCTTATTTGCAAGGCCAATTATCAGGTGAGGCTAAAACAGTAGTATCCCATCTGAGATTAACTAATGACGGCTATGATCTGGCAGTAAAACTCCTCAAGGATAATTATGCTGATCCAGAAGTAAGAACATCACATTTAGTTCATGAGCTGTTGCATTTACCCCCACCGGAGGCTTCAGCTGATTCACTCCAAGTCTTCAAGCTGGAGGTAGAATCATTGATCAATGCCCTCAGCCTGACAGCAGATACAAACGGGGCTGAGTGGGTCTTGAAAATAATTGTCCAGGAGAAAATACCTAGGGACATATTGAGACAAATAAGTGCTCATTACAATAAAAGCATCTTATCCATGAATGAAATATCTGAAGGTTTAAAGTCAGTAGTTCATCAATTACGAACACATGACAAATTAAAACCACCAAGTAAACCCTCAGAAACCAATAATAGTAAACCACAGAGTACCAAAGGTACTCCAAATCAATCTAGACAATATCATTCAACACCAAAGTGGAACAGTGGCAGTGTGGGCGTATATGCAGCAGGACCTCAAGTCTACCAGGTGGTACAACCATCAGTACGTTTAGGCAGGTACGTCTGTCGAGTACAAGCCATTGTGGTGGACAAAATACCAGTAGACCTACAAGTTCAAGGTCTGAGAGCAACAGCCAAATTCCTGAGAAATAGAGGAATAAAATTGGCAGATAATATTAAGTCTGATCACCTCACCGACTTCGGTCTCCTTGTAGGGACAGACTATTGCCATCGATTCATCGGTAGCCCTACTAAATATCAGGGCATAACCATGTTAAAGTCTGCAGGAGGTAAATTACTCTCAGGCCCAGTATCAAGCCTGAGGAGACCTATGCCTGCAGATAAACAATACCAATAGAAACTAAATTTGTCAGCTGATTATATTTCTCCAGTAGCATTATACTAAGGAGATTACAGCTGACTATACCAACAGAAGTTGATGTTAGTATCATCATTTGAAGCTGGAGATGAGTTCATGAGGCCTCAGTGGCAAATCAGTGAACAGTAGCCTAAAACAGCTACAAGTCACTGCGACCAATGTCACTGAACCCACTGCAGTCTCAGAACCATACTTTACTTTAATGATGAGCTATTCAATCTTCTGAATCAATTAACTAAATTAAACCCCAATAAATCTGATGACTGATTTGATACATTTATTATTTAATCAAGATGTATTCCATGGGCCTCAGTGTTTATATATCAGTGACCAGTTACCTGAAGAAACTTCAAGTTATATCTAATGTCACTGATCTCACTGCAGTCCCTGAATCATACTTGACTGTAGTACTTGATCACATCCAGTCTTCTGGGTTAAATAATATGTAATAAGGCTTGAATATTAGCCTTTCAAGAGTTGACAGGGAAGTGAAATCGCATTAGACTTCTAACCCCTGCAACTCTAGTACGGGACATCCGTCCTGTATGAACAGACACACAAATGTGTGATTACTAACTATAATTTGAAGGAGGAGTATCGGTGTTCGTCTGTTCTAAAGAGGACTTCGACCCGTGAGCAGCCCCCTGGGGAATTATGTCGGAAAATCCGACACCATTTAATATATCATACAGATAATAGCTGTATTACCAACAAGTTACCCATAGAAAACGTAACTTGTAGTGGAATTACCGTCTATAGAAAACGGGATATCATCACCACATACTATTATAATTCACCAGCTATTCTGCTGGGAATTATTCTTAAATACATAAGTCTTTGGACTTTACCATCATAAAAACATCTTATATAAATTAACTTAATTATCAATATTAAAGTAGAGTAAATGTGACCCTTCTATCACGTTCTGAAATCTGGACAATGTAAGCCAGGCGTCAGAGTGGAGGAAGGAGGGCAGCCATTGTTTATACTAGACCAGAGGCTCACACGGGAGCAAATTCGGCTCCTGTTAAATTTACTTGGACGTAGTGTTATGGAAACTAAAAGTGTACCATTATCAACACGCTGTCTACAAATTCAAGTTAAGTGTCTATCCGAAACCCATTATCTATCATTAGTGGCCATTAATGTCATTGGGTAGGGTTATCCGGTTAGATCACATGGAAGCCTCAAACTAAAGGTAATT